AATATTGAGTCCTCCTATGCCCATATCGAAGCCAAATGGTCGATGAGTGAGCTGAAAACTGTGAGCAAAACTTGACCGAGCTGTCGCAGCCAAAACCCAAAGCCTTCTCTGATAACCCGTTTCTCTTTCCTGTTTCGCGTGACTTTTTGACTACTATGTTCTTCGTTCTTTTTTGGTGCAGGTTAGCTGAAGGAAAACTCCAGCTGCGACCGGCGAAGCCGCCACACCCAAAGATCTTTCACTGGTAGGGTTTCGATTTTTTGCCTTTTTAGGCAAATCGAGAGATCTTTACTTGGTTTTTCGGAAGTTTACGTGTAATACTGGCCAAAATCGGCCTCACCGAGGTAAACTGCCGCCATGGCCGGCAATGGATCTTTAACTTTTTGGAGTATTTTTTTGGGATACATGACGAGTATTTTAATTTTCACAGGAAAATTTTAAAAAATTCTGGGATCGTTAGAAGGTGCAATGAAAAGTACAGTATTTCAGATACCGATTCGAGGTAAGAATCCATCACTTTTTTCTCTATTAAGATAAACTGAAGTGTAATAATCGATAATACTATATTTTATAAAAATTAGAAAATCATAAAAATAATTACAGGTCATTAGTGGAGCCAATACCAGTCAGTGCATATTTGTCATAGTTTACTGTTTATTTTTCTCTTGTACTCCTTAAAATACTTACTATTATATTATGTACATTAAATTATTAATTTTAATTATTTTCTCGGTTATTTAGTTTACCTAATTGCATAGCCTCATTTATTGAATTGTTTTGCAATAAATGTCTTAATCATGTTTTTTGATGTATGTATTACCTATTTGCATGATTTATTGTGATATATAAATATGAGATATTAGTATGTAATTGATAATTGGTTAATAGTGTGAATCTATATACGAAATACTTACTGGGTACTCTGGGAAAAGGTGGACGGATTCGGTATATAAGGAACTCTACTGTGGACATTACTTCAGTCGGATGGGGCTGAGAAGTCCTATATCGGAAGAGTTTGAGAGATATGATTCATCCTTATACCGTACAAGATATCGAGACGATGATGTTTGACGCCCGTTATCGGACGAGATATGAGGATGATCAGTTAATTGACAACTTTAGATATTGGGTTCACACGTAGGGGGACATATCTATGGATCCCCAAAGATACCAGTAAGCAGGTGAAAAAGAAAGTTGTTGTTCTTACTCATTTGTATATAAAATCATAATGTTATTTGAGTTATTGTCATTATAAATCGATTTTAGAAACTCGTAACAATAAATATAGAATAAATAGTTTTATATTAAATGAATTTATCTAAATTAAGAGCTCCGTTAGTTATTTTAATATTTTTACCAACTTTCGGTTGTATGTGTTAGTGATTAGTGTGATATTTTTACTGAGTTAGTGTAGTTGATCCCCTTATTTAACTATTTCAGATTAAGAAGACTAAGATATAGATTCTCAACAACAGGATGGTTGCGAGTAAATGTTACCTCCGGGACTCCATCTAAATTGCCAGTGGAAGTTAACTCTATAAGATTTTAGTTTCATTTTTGTTTATGTTATTTTAACTTTTTTAAAGTTAACATTACTGTAACCCTATTAGGTATCCCAATTTAACGTTTAAGAAATATAAATTCTAAATTACTATTTGTTTTCGCTATTTTTATATATTTTTTTGTTTTTAAAGTTTTAGGTCTTTACACTATTACTTTGAGACATTGTAAATTTTTTCCTTGGTAGAATTATGAACTATTTTTTATGAAGTACGCCTTGACTGATGATTGTATTAACGTTAAGGGACAATGCCGAGAAACCACTTTATTTTTATATTCTTGTCGAGCCTAATGGTGTAAACAACTGTTGTTAAGGTATGTCATCATACTTGTGGGTAAAGATGTTTTTTGTTATACATGTTAAATACGCATTAACTTTTGGTGATGATAATAATTTTCTCAGTTTCTTTTTGCAGAATCAGGCGAAGCTTGAGCTGTTCCTTTGCCATAATTTTCTATCAGGATTCATCTTCTGTATGCAAAATTTTGTTTGAGAAAGTTGTTTCTTTTGGTAGGGGTTAGAAGGTTAACTAGACTTTAAACAAAGCAAGAATTATGAATTGATGCTTCTAGTTTAAACGAACCTGAGCTTCCAAAATTTTCCTTCGGTCGTTGATTTTAATCTGTGTAAAAATCTTTTTGTCATTCTCCTTTTTGCCTTTAGTTTGTAGTTTCGTCAGAATAAGGTAACAATATCCATCTTGGTTAAAAGGGTTGAAAATACTGTGTAAAAAAAGTATATTACATGTATGCATATATATATATATATATACATACATACGTATACGTATGTGCACCATATTTACTTACACGGTTGATATCACTATCTCAAATTCTACTTTACCACTAACCCAAAAAGAAAAAAAAGGTTCTTTTTGAAAAAGAGTAATCAATCTTAGTCTTGTAAACTCAAGTAGAAGTGGCCCCGAGCCAAGGACTTTTTATGGGTAGACTACATAGGAATATGCAAAACCAAATCTTTATATAATATTTAGTGGATACATATAAATATGTTATGTATGTATATACCAACATATTCACTAAACACAACATCTAATTGAAAAGTTTCGCGTTTAGTGATCATAAGATGTAGAGTGAAATTGAATATATTGTATATAATTTTTATTATTGAGAAAAGTAAATTATAATAACAACAATAAATGTGAATGCGGATGTGACATTGTGCAAGTAAAAAGCCCGTGATAGTTTCGGGGTAAGTTTCCAATAAATTTTTTTTATTAATTTAATTATTAAATTCATATACTATGGCTTTCCTTTGAGCCTCGATCAAACAGAATAAGCGAAGTAGAAGTTATATATATTAATATATGTATATTAAAATAGTTGTGAGACGAACAAAAGATTTACTAAATGTAATTAAAATAAAATCTTAGATAATTTTTAGATTTTATCCGACAAAATTTAATGAAAAAATATTTGGTTTGAAGTGAATCAAACTATCAAAAAAAGTTGGGTTTTGATTAGATGTGTAAATTGACAATCAAATATATTTGCTTTTGAGAGTGGATAAATAAAATCTTTTGGAAGACTTTATTCATAGATTATATCATTTTATGGTGACAACAAATTTTATTTAAATTTTTTATTATATCTAGTGGTTTTTTTTTTATTTAATTTTTAAAATTAAATAACACACACACACACACACACACACATATATGTATGTCCACTATAATATTTGTCAATGTCGTGATCTTAGCAAGAATCACGACATTGACAAAGATTATTGTGCATATTTATGTCTTATATTCATTGTTTAATTTTTTTTTTAATTTTAAAAAAAGATAAAAAAAATACCATTAATTCAACCTTAATAAATATTATGTTCATATCTTTATCTAAAAAATTATAAAAATGGGTTTTATATGTTATATTTATTTTATAATTAAAATTACTAAAAATTTTATATGGAAAGTTTTCTTTTTTAACCACCAAAAGAGAATAAAATGAATTTGGGTATCTACTTACATTCTTTTTAGTGTCAAAAAATAATATGAATTTTTTAATTAAAAAATAGGAAATTACGCAATAAAAAGATTTAAGTATTTTTAATTTTACTATTTAATGTCTAAGCACGTCTTTTCTTTTTAGGCTTTATTACGTATTAAGCTCAAAGCTGTGCGTTTTGAAGTTAAGAAAGAAGTCAATCGAAAAGCAGTTATTTTTTTTTAATGAGCGAGGATGATGATAAGCACGACTGCACGAGTGGGTTCAAGCCGCGCGTCATGCACGCGCTACAAAGACAGCGTGACCACCTGTCTGCAGAAATTAAAAAAAAAAAAAAAAAAAAATCGTCCCTATCAGCATTGTAGATCTTCTGGTTTGGCCAACATAGATAGACAAAAGATTCGGTATTTAATACTCTCACCTTCTCTCCTTTATTGATAACAGAGAGCTTTTGATCTTTAGCTGATTTTAGGAGGGAAAATTGACTGTTGAACTTCCAAAATCCCCAATTCCAGATTGCCAGAAATTAATTACCATACACTTTTTTTACTTCTTCCCTCTCTCTCAGAATTCACCACAGGAATCCATTGTTTCGACAGGGCTAGACGAGGAGATTTGGAGAGGAAGAAGACAATGTTTGCGGCAGAAAACGGACTGAAAGGAGACCCCAGACTTAAAGGCATATCGGAAGCCATTAGGGTTGTTCCGCACTTCCCTAAACCAGGTTCTTCTTCTTCTTTTTCTTCTTCTCATGTCTACTCTCTGCTCCGTTTTTTTTTTTTTTTTTTGTCTTCAAGTTCGATTTTGATTTACTCGGAGTTCTTTTTTTTTCTTCGTTAATTTATTCTGTGGGGAATTTCGTCGAACATTTAACATGGGTCTGCATTTTTGGTTTCTGAAACAGGAATAATGTTTCAAGACATCACGACGTTGTTGCTTAATCATAAGGCGTTTAAAGACACGGTCGACATTTTTGTTGATCGCTACAGAGATATGGACATTTCTGTCGTTGCCGGTACCGTACAATATATTGCATGTCTCTCTTTCTTCTTCTTCTTCTTCATTAATTTTTTATCAATCTGTTTCTAGCTCTGTGATTTTTTGAAAAAATAAAAAACTTGTGTTTCTTTCTTTTACAGTTATTTACTCGGAGAAGACCCAAATTTTGAAAAAGAAGTTTTGCTTGTTCAGATTTGCGTTTACTATGACCGACTATTTTCTTTCTGTTTCCTCATTTGCAACATTTGCTATGACTATTTTTCCAATGATTTTACTGGGTTCCTCTTCTGGACTTTGGTTTTGTTTTTCACTGCCTTCTTTTTACTGTTTTACCTCGTTTCTTTCAGAAAGTTATGTGCTTGCCTGCTTGTCTTCTTTCTCTAAAAAGGTTAAAGGTTTAGTTGCTTCCTTTCAAAAGTTTCTCCATTTGGGTTTGCTCGTAATAGCATTTTTTTTTTGTTTTTGTGCATACGATCTGGTTATAATTTAAAAAAGAAGAGATTTTCAGAACCCAGAAAAGGACTAAATTGATTTCCTTCACAAACTTTTTTGTGGTTTTTTGGTCTCCTCCGTCCAGATTTATCAGGCAGTACTCGAGCTCACAAAGATTTCTTTTGGGCACTAGTTTTTTAGACTTAAGACAGTAATATTGAAAAAACATACTTTCACGAACTATAACCTAAATGTTGTAAGCCTGAGCTTATAATAATAAATTGATGTTTTATGCGCTAAATCTATTGTTTTTCAAGGTTGATAATGTCTGCATATTTTGTGTAGGAGTGGAAGCTCGAGGTTTTATGTTTGGTCCATCAATTGCACTGGCTTTAGGTGCGAAGTTTGTTCCTTTACGGAAACCTAGAAAGTTGCCAGGTATTGTTTGTTTTAAACAAGAACTAAAACTAGGGTTATAGGTAATTGAATTAACTGTTGAAGGAGTATGTAGACCGTTTGAACCAACCTCTTCAAGATTTGGGTTTATAAGCCGAATCTTGGTCCAAAAAATAAGCTCCTGATGACCAGCTACATTTTTAAAGCTTGTAGTCCAGATAATAAACTGGAATATCTGAGGGTTAAAGAGCTTATAAGCTCAAGAGAGAAGGAAGAATGAAAGAAAGCCTATTCAAACAGCCTATAGAAATATATGGGAGTAAATGGTTGATGGAGTAGTAGTTTTATATTTCTTAGGATTGAATCCTGGACCTTCTGCTCTGCCCATCAAATGGCTGAAGAATAGGCATTTGCAGCTTTCGAAGGATGGAAGATTGTGTTTAATTCTCTTGATTACGTGCTCTAATTTGCGTTGATTTTCAATTGCCCTTTTGAATGTTTATCAGCATGGAGTTCTATAGATGCTCAAACTCAGTTCGGTTCCATACAAATCAGATCAAAAAGAGCCATTCTAATATTCAGAAATGATGTCTGATATGGGGAAAAAAGCATTGCAAACTTCTGTCATTTTGATTTCCGGTAGTTGTAGTCAATTGCACTGTCCTCAATGGGTCAATGCGAATGTAGGGTTAACATTTGTGATTTGATTCTGTTTAATAAAAATTATATAACTGCTTCTCTCTGTTGATATATATGTATAGTTCTCGAGAATTCAGTATCTAACTTGTTTCCTGGCCTTGTCATGTTTGACACTTGGGATTGGAAGATAATCTTTGACTTGATCATTTGTCACTCTATAGGGGAGGTTATTTCTGAAGAATACGTGCTGGAATATGGAACTGATTGTTTAGAGATGCATGTGGGTGCTGTTAAACCCGGGGACCGTGCATTGATAATTGATGATTTGGTAGCTACTGGCGGGACTCTCTCAGCAGCAATAAGGCTTTTGGGTATATAACTTTACTCCCTTAATTCTCTCCAATTTAACTCCAGCTTAATTTTTTTACCAAGCCAGATAATGCTATTTATGTCTGAAATTGTTGTTTCTTTAGAACGCATGGAGGCTGAAGTCGTGGAATGTGCTTGTGTTATTGGGCTGCCTGAGGTCAAGGTATTGTTTATGTGCACATAACTGGCAGCCATTTTGTTACTATCTTTTGCTATCCAAAGCTAGGAGTCTTTTTTCCCTACACAAAAGCTCTTACAGGTTTATGATTAACTAATCTTATACGCTTTGCCCTTCAAAGTACCTGACCGCTTAATTTGGAGTTTTACTATGAGACCTTGGAGGTAGCACCATTGCAGATAGTTTTCTAATATCTTCACTTAAATTCAATGACTGTAATAATTTGATAATTTCGAATGATTACCATACAGAAGTAAGAAATTATAATGTCCTAGAAAATTACTAGAGTGACCATACCCTGAGGCATCATCAATTTTTCCCTCCGGTAGGTCCATGAACTAGTTTTATATAAATGACTTGAAAGTGATTGTATTACTGTATTGCTGTTCAGGGACAACGCAGGCTTAATGGGAAACCACTTTATATTCTTGTTGAGCCTCGGGAAGTAAACAACTGTTGTTAAGGTATGGCTCGATATATTGGGTAAAGAAAGTTTTTTGTTACATTTTTAGCTGGCATTAGAGCATTCTGAAATGTGTGATGATAACCTTCTCATCTTATTATTATTTTTTTTGTTTGCAGGTTCATGTTATTTCAAAATATGCTTGGGCTGACTTGCAGAAAAAAGATGATGCTCGGGCATGTTGTTCTCTGCTATAGTTTTTCTTTGAGAGATTTGTAATCTTTTAGTTGGAGGGGTTAGAAGGGTAAATTAGATTTTGGACAAAGCAAGAGTTATGATGAATTGAAAAGATTCTTAGTTATTGATGATATTTTGCTTCTAATTTCTTTGCTCTTCTAATAAAAAGACATCCCTCACTGCTCTCTAGAAGTCTCACTACGAGGAAATAAGGCATTTCGATACACCACATCACCACCGTTTTCTTAAAAAATGCTTCATCATCTTTTGTAACGATTTAATATCCTACGCAACGTGATTTTTTTTGTATATTACAAAGTTAATTTTTCAGCACATAAAACAGTCTACTTGGTACGTGAAATTTTTTATGTAAAAATTTAAGACCGCAATAAGATTGTCATCAAAAGATCACAAAAATTTGAAGGACAAACACAAAACAGAAGAACAACGAAAACAATTTGCTTGAGAAATGTAGAATCATATGGAAATTTCATAATTTTCAACAGAAATATAATATGAAGCAAAAGACATCTGAAACTGGAAAAACGTGTATTCACTATGGTTTCCTTTCATCTGTAATGGGTTATTCAGTCGACTAAGTATATAAGAGTACAACAATAAGGTAAGATGCAGTCCTGACAATAACTTGTGTATGATGAAATGAAAAAAAAAAAAAAATTGTTTGGCTGCTGGCCTTGGACCACACCAGAAAAATTTAGCACATTAGATGATTTGATTACCCGGCACAGCTATATGTGATATGGGATTTCCTTCTCATAGTCTTAAAGAGATATTCTAGTACAAAGCTTTGTATTTCACCTTTTCTATTCACTTGCATTCCTCACATCTTCATTGTTCATAGATACTCTGTTCATCTTAAGAGCATGCCGGATGAGAGAATTCACCTGTTTTCTCAGTTTAGCATTTTCCGTGATGATATCCAATAGCATCTTCCGCAAGTCATCCACAATTCTGAGAGTTCTATCCATATCTTTATCATTGGCTTCATCAACCCCAAGTAATAACTGTGCCTGATCAATTTTAGGAAAAGTTTCAACATGTCTTTTATCTTCTTCTCACAGCACAAAAACCAAAGGAAAAGACAAGCAATACAATAGCATATAAGAGAAATACTTGACAAGGGTAAAAACATTGAAGAGAAAAGGGCAATGCTGTAAAAATTCTTAGTACCTCGGAAAGTAAGAGGCCAATTCGTTGGTCAGATGTGCTCAACAAATCTAAAGCACCTTCTAGTGTGTTCGAAGGGCCAGCAAAATGATCTTCACCAATTGAAAAATGCGCATTGCATTCTATAAGCTGGTTGTGAAGGGCTCTGCATTCATGAAGCAGCTTTTCTCTTGCAGCTTTTGCATTCTCACTTACTTGTCTTTCCTGTTGAAGCAGTTTCTGAAAAAGAATCACCGTGAGTCAGTTGGATATTTCTATTGTGTCTTCGGTTCAAAAGCTAATTATGAGACCAATCCATACAGGAAATATAGAAAAACATCCCAAAAATAGAAGCAAACTACGTTTCCTTTTAAATTTACAAATAAACACAAAACCAAGCAAATCATGGAGCCGATAGAGATTTTTAACAAAAATAATCAATTAAAAAATGGCCATCATTAGTGATGCATGTGAAGATGCACAACAACAGGAATGAAA